GATCTCTTGAAAAGAGTTGTTGTTGTAGCACTCGTTTGAGAAACCTGAACAACAAAAACCAAATATTCAGATTATGGCTTAAGACACACTACACCAACAGATAAAGCCAGCTCGATAATCAATAATCACACTAAACTTATACCATAATAGAAACAATTAAGGTTTGTATTCTAGTATATCATTTCTTTTAAAAACACACACACCTACCATTCTAGAGAGACTTTAGAGGCACGATAAGGTGGAAACAAAAGAATCATCTCATTCATTATTCGTATATATAAATAGTAACAACTAAACATGCAGATTTAAAGAAAATTATTCTCAAACAAAACCGTGTAAATTCAGAAGAATCTTCTTGGTCAACTACTTAAGCTCTCTAGAAAACAATTAAAAGATTAGAATCACGTGAGTGGAGCGTGACTTGTGTTTGGTCGTCACATTCACACGTCATGTTGTTCCTCGTCCAAACCCCAAACTAGTGTCACGTATTCTCTCCACAACACCGCTAGTCCTTATTATCGTTTTTTATTAAACCCAAAAATTCCTTCTTTTTTTAGTTTGACTACTCTCTACTTTGGTATTCAAAAAAAAAAAAAAATTATAAACCACCGATCAAAAGTCAACATAAAAATTAAAAAGCAATAATAATAATCTAGTAATTAAAAAAAAAAAACCAGGCTAATGAAACAGACTGTCACCAAACATAATCTGACGGACGAATGACAGAAAGGCGAGTAAGCAAGCAGCAACAACTAACTTTGACCACGGTGGTACTAAGTCTATACTTGCATACTGTACACTACGCCACATCTGATAACTGTCCCCACTAAACCCTACCACACACGCACCTAATCCACACATACAAAATTCAATTACAAGAAAACGCCTCTCAAACCCCTTAATTTTATAAATAACGCCACAGATAATGACCAAAATACCCTTTATCGTCGTAATGACAAAAGGGTAGTTTCGTTTATGAATGTGTAACTTTGTTTTCTTTTTCTTGTTTAGCATTGAAGTCCTCAACGGTGATTTGACTAAAAAAACACATCTCCTTGATGTGAGGGCTTTTTAGTCTTTTTCACGTAAAAGCAGAGAGATGCACAAGAAGTGGGAAACGTGACACTTTGCTTCCAAAGGACCAAAAAAGCAAAGAGATCAACAGATTTATCTGGTTTTTAAACTCAAATCTAGAAGTGTTACCAAGAAGACAAAACAAAAATCATATCGAGAAATAAAGATTTTTTAGTTTCTTGAAAAAGAAAGAAAAACACGAGTCCACGGTGGAGGGTATTTCGGTCAACGAAAAGTCGGTGTACCTACGTGATCAGCGAGGAAGGAAGAAGAACGATAGTAAGATCCTAAAATGACAAAAATACCCACAAGCGAACAACTAAAGCCAGTTTCGTCGTGTCGCCGTGTGGGTATAAGACTAAGGGCATAATCGGAAGTAGATCAGACCAAACACCAAAAACAATAAAAACCTACGACCATCGGAGTTTTCAAAACGGAAAAACCAAGAAATGATCGGACAAACCTTAGATCTAAAGGTCTCAGATGGTTTCACGGCGGCGCTAGACTCCTCAAGACCTTCCACGGTGGTAGCTCCGCCGCTGAGTGACGTGGCGCCACTCCAAGAAAGTGGCGTGGTGGGACTGGCACGAGTCTGGTCACCTTTCTTCGATCTCCGTTGACGAACGCTCCATTTCAGCTTTAGAGGAGACATGTCGCTCTTGTTCGGTGGTGGTGGTGGCTCAGCGTGGCGGAGACGGAGCAGCGCGTCGGCCACCAAGGAGTCGTCGGACATGGCCACTCGAATCCAGTTTTCGCCGGACATAGTCGGAATCTTTGAACGTTCA